GGCAGAGTCAAAATACGGTATTTTTTATTTTTTAAATTATAACATGTTATTATTTGTATACCTACTTTTTGTTGAGAGAATACAAACATACAAATAAAAAATAAAAAATATACATAAATATGAATTTATATAGATAAATTTCATGTGAAAATATATCCCCCGTTTAATATTTTATTTAAATGTGTACCGTACGCTGTATTGTATAACATTTAATCCATTTTTGTGGTTTGGAAGAAAGTCATAACAGTACTGAAGTAGGTAATTTCGGAAGTATCCAAAAATCATATAGAGATTTCGAATGATATTTTGCAGTTATTCAAAAACCTTATTATATTTTCCATGTGATTTGATCAATTTATGAAATGTGACATTAAAAATRARTTGTATGTAAACATCGACAAATAATGAAATTATCATATTTAACGCAATTATCATTTTTGGGTGGATAGGTATGTAAATAATAACGACATTGGGAGTGGTACGTAATATTAGGGACTAAGAAATTATTTAAGTATTAYATTATTATAATCTCAGAGTTTCTCTATTGATAAAAATGTAAGATTTATGAATTGAAATTGTCTAGGATTTAACAACTTTGTTCTTAGTATTAGTCCAATCGTTAAAAAATTGAAGTGGACAAATATTTAGAATTTTAATTATTTTGTGTAAGAAGGGATGTTAGGTCCATTTTCTAATTAGAAAAATTATTTTTACAAACAAAGGGATAACGATAGAGTTTTAATACAGGTTGTATTTGTATACAAATAAAGTTTATTTGATTTTATAATTAATATAATCATACCTAGTGTTTAATTTCGTAACTTTTTGTTGATAAATGATTGGATTGTAATTTCCAAAATTTGTTTGCCATTTTATATATATATAAGGGACAAAGGTTTTCAGTATTTTGAATGTGCATTTGTGTTTTTATTAAAGAGGTTATTTGATTATAAAACTGTTTTACCATATATACAATTTTGCAGGTGGCTATGCAAATTTGAACTAATTAATTTCAAGTTAAAGGATTATTTGAGCTATTCTCAAACTTATAATATTATCCAATACTTTTATAACGATGACTCATTCAGTAAAGTTTGCGTTTTTTTTGTTGTTTTAATTAACTATTAAGACACTWATACAAGGAACCTAATAAAAAGATACTCTGAATTATTTTTTTGCAATTATTCCAAGATTATTGTAACATTAAATAATATTTGAATAATTTAAAATGTAGCATTAAAAATAATTAAAACGTATTTTAACATTACAGTATTATTGATAGTAAATCAATTTCAAGTATAAAATGTTTAGTTCAAACATTCTTCAATTAATGTAAGTGCTAGATTATTAAAACATTTTGTAACATAATATTCAACTTCTAAGTTTTTATTCGTACATAAGTAATTATTCTCAAGTGAAATTATAAAAAATAGTAAAATTATTTGAAATATTCCATTTTTTGTATTGTCATAGTAATGTGTATTACTACTGAGCTTTCCA